ATGTATAGAAGTCCAAGTTATGGGTTGTTTGGAAAAGTTCATGAAAAGAAATCCCCAAAGTGAAATATTATTGTGAAATCAGATAAAAATTCAGTTTATTTTCCTTTAATGAAATCTACACTTTACTAGCTCGGAGCATTATAAAGAGAAATTAGAGACACATTGACGTTAAATTCTAAAACAGTTTTAATGTATACAATGGCCTCAATTTAATAGGAGCAAAATCCAATTTAGTATTTTGTGACATTTTATTTAAGTTCAGGTGGGGAGAAAATGCAGCCTTCATATTACTTCATATTGCTTAGTAGAGGCAAAAAGTAAATGATGCCATGGTTATTTATGAAAAGGCCCAAAAAGAATGGCTTGGGGAGGGTCAGGCAGCCCCAGGGAAACCGGCCTGGGAGTGCTAACTTTCTCTCTGACTAACACAGCCTTTTTGGGGGTCCCTTTACTCTGACCTTCCTCCTGCTTTCAGTTCTGGGAGATGATTGGTGAGGAGCATGGAATCGACGCGGCTGGGAGTGACCGCGGGGCCTCGGCCTTGCAGCTGGAGAGAATCAGCGTGTACTACAACGAAGCCTACGGTAGGCCCGGGGGGCTCTGGGAGCAGTGATCTGGCAACTGGGAACACAGACAAAGGAAAGGCAGAGGCTCAGGAGACAGAAATGTCAATGCAACGATGTCCAGGCTCAGGCAGGCGGCAGGCAGGGCAGCAGGATCCCCAGAGTGGTGGGTCCCCAGCCCCTGGTCAAGAGGCAAGACTGAGGAAGAAGCTGCTGGATGGGGCACACACCTTAACACAAGCAGGTGAAGTACTCACTTTCCGCCATGGTTTCACAAATGAAGCCAGAACAATTTCCAATATGAAAGAAGAGAATCTGTCACTGGCACTAGCACAGAGCAACGACGGAAAGTGTTTCTTGGGTATTCTATAGATTTGTGAGATTGCTGTTGGGGTCAAAAATAAGACGTTAGATACTCAAATCTCAACCTACTGAGGGCCCCTTTCTAGAATATCCATGATTTTTTTGGACCAGTATGGCAAGGTCTATTCTGATAAAACATTAACTTTTAGAAAAACAAACATGCTGACTTTTTCCTATTTTTCTACACAGGTAGGAAATATGTGCCCCGAGCAGTCTTGGTGGACCTAGAACCTGGGATGATGGACAGCATTCGATCTAGCAAATTAGGAGCCCTCTTTCAACCCAACAGTTTTGTCCATGGTAGGTTTTTCCAGAAGGTTCCACCAGGAGGAGTAGCGGATGCCTTAATGGTGCCCTTCTCTTTTCACCTTGCTGGTTACTCTTTTTTGCCACAGGTAACTTTGGGGCTGGCAACAACTGGGCCAAAGGCCATTACACAGAGGGAGCTGAGCTGATCGAGAATGTCCTGGAGGTGGTGAGGCACGAGAGCGAGAGCTGTGACTGCCTGCAGGGCTTCCAGATCGTCCACTCCCTGGGCGGGGGCACAGGCTCCGGGATGGGCACTCTGCTCATGAACAAGATCAGAGAGGACTACCCGGACCGGATCATGAATTCCTTCAGTGTCATGCCTTCCCCCAAGGTGTCGGACACAGTGGTGGAGCCCTACAACGCGGTCTTGTCTATCCACCAGCTGATTGAGAATGCAGATGCCTGTTTCTGCATTGACAATGAGGCCCTCTACGACATCTGCTTCCGTACCCTGAAGCTGACAACACCCACCTACGGGGATCTCAACCACCTGGTGTCCTTGACCATGAGCGGCATAACGACCTCCCTCCGGTTCCCGGGTCAGCTCAACGCAGACCTGCGCAAGCTGGCAGTGAACATGGTCCCCTTCCCCCGCCTGCACTTCTTCATGCCCGGCTTTGCCCCGCTCACGGCCCAGGGCAGCCAGCAGTACCGGGCCCTCTCCGTGGCCGAGCTCACCCAGCAGATGTTCGACGCCCGCAACACCATGGCTGCCTGTGACCCCCGCCGTGGCCGCTACCTAACAGTAGCTTGCATCTTCAGAGGCAAGATGTCCACCAAGGAAGTGGACCAGCAGCTGCTCTCCGTGCAGACCAGGAACAGCAGCTGTTTTGTGGAGTGGATTCCGAACAATGTCAAGGTGGCTGTTTGCGACATCCCGCCCCAGGGGCTGAGCATGGCTGCCACCTTCATTGGCAACAACACGGCCATCCAAGAGATCTTTAATAGGGTCTCTGAGCATTTCTCAGCCATGTTCAAAAGGAAAGCTTTTGTGCACTGGTACACCAGTGAAGGGATGGACATAAACGAGTTTGGGGAAGCTGAAAGTAACATCCATGATTTGGTGTCTGAGTACCAACAATTTCAAGATGCCAAAGCAGTTCTAGAGGAAAATGAAGAGGTCACGGAGGAGGCAGAAGTAGAGCCAGAAGATAAGGGACATTAACTGTGAGAGAAGCTGTGCCACGGAGCCGCTTACAGAACAGTTTCTCATTAGATTAGTGTTTCTCCTGCAGCATTCCAAAACCCATTCTGCACTGCAGCACAGTGAATGATACGCACTCATCATTAGCTTCAACACAGGGACTGCGGGAGATGGGGTGGGGAGCAGCTGATAGGCATTAGGGTCTTTGCTGACATTTACTAACTTTGACGAGTTTGACATTAAATGCATACTTATTAACTTAAAAATATTGCAAAGTGTAAAGTGCTCCCTTTGTTTCAAAATGTTCACTGGCTATTTATCATATGCCCCGTGCCAGGCATCCAGACTACACGTGTGGATCCACAGGAGCCACCGCAGCTGGTGTTAACTTTTTAAACTCAAGCAGCACTGATAAGCACCCTGGAATCCTCACTTGGTATCCGAGGGCTACTAAGACTCTTCCCTTAGGTTCTCTCCTCTGAGCAAACACTGCCTGGCATCCTGCCTTCCTGTGTCTGCCAGCCTTCACAAGAGCCAGGTGCCTGACTAGTACATGGGGAGCTACAGAGCCAAGGTCAGTGTAAGTCAACATCCACTAGAAATAATCCATGTTGTGTGGACCTGTGCACACAACCTGCTAACTGGAAAAGAGGAAAAAAGAAAAGCCACAGTCCTCCCTAGAAAAACACCTGGTCCAAACATGAAAAACAAAAAGACAAGCAAAACTAATCTGCAGCCTTCTGATCTTTATTTCTGAAGAGCTAGCTTTGAACATGTATGTTTATATATTTTAAATTTCTTATTACTGTTAGATCCCAGGAACTCATTAATAATCATCCTTGGTTTTCCTTTTGAAGTGCTCTTTTCACTTTCATTCAGTAATCACCCCCCAAAAAGCTCGGCAGCCTCTTTGAGAAAGGGCACAGCATCTGATCAGCAACCATTCAAATGCAGGAATGAAGCAGCAGCGGCTGCAGTGTCCTTCTCAGTTACGGAGGAGGATGTCGTCTCATTAAGGAACTTTTACAGTTCAAATTAATTTGCAGAAGTTGCCATAAATGTTTGCATGACACAGCTTTAACACGACATGATTTTAATCTGCTCACATTACAACAGGACCAAATTCACAAGAGCGCAATCAAATCAACCATAACTTCTTAATTACAGTTTACCTATTTCTGACAGGCAGCACTGCCATCTCTTCCAGCACCATCAGGGTTTTAATGGCCCTCTAGAAATACCACTGAGATACACTATTTGATCCATGGATAACTGGTAATGGGAAAATGCTCCGACCCTCACTGCAGTAAATATTTACTTGCAGGCAACTGGGTTTTCATCTCTTGATTTGCTTTTGTAATCAGCAATAATAAAATAGCAGGTGAATGGATGACAGTTGCTCATTCTGAGAAACTTCACTCTTCTCACATATGCATCGTGAGAAAATAACTAAAGTACGTATCAAGAGAAAAATACCTTGTCATTGGGATCACCAACAAGTCTTCTATTTACAAACTTCAAAAAACACAAAACCACCATCATATTTTCAACACTTTCTACTTGTGGTTCAAGAAGCACTAGATTTAGTAAGAAACTGCACCACTGCACCTATGTACTTAGTTTGAAGTTAGTAACTTCCTGAGATGCTAAAGACCTATACCCTGCGATTATACAAGGACTTACACATGCTTCCTCTGGTGCTTTACTTCCCAAACCTAAAGGGGCAATGAAATAGATGTAAGGAGAGAGGGATTTAAACCTTTTAAACACTTGTGATTTACATTACAGTAAAGATTTGTTTGCTCAATAGTAATCATTAAAGTATAAAATAATTTGGCAAAATTGCTTTATTTCAGACTAAATCAATTCCTTTTCTTGAAGCCTAACCACCCCGACTGAGTAGTTAAAAATATTTAGAAATGCATCTCACCATCCTACTCTTTTGTATGGTAGAAATAGATTTAAAAACACAAAACACAAACTAGAAACCTAGAGAAATCTGTCCCTTCTGATTTTGAAGAGCTTATTCCTTTAGCAGTATGGTTGCTACGGCGACATTGGTCTCTCAGAGACCGAGACAGCAGAATCAGAATCTTAGAGCTTATCCGATTCCTTCACTTCACACACAAGGACTACGTGAACTAAAAGACTGACTCCCTCAAACATCACCCAACCAGTTAGTGGGATACCCACAAGTTGGTCTGATTGAGGTCACCTCATCATTGGGCACAGGTGTCCTGCCAGCCACCCAGCAGCACTGGAGGCAGGAAGTTTATTTCATTATACTACTGGTTCCGGATGGTAAACTTGTCTTTTACTCAGTTACTTCACTCCTTTCCATACCACAAGCCCCATCCCTAAGTCTCACCTCGTAAGCATTCCATCTGCCTCCTTAATAAATGACGTATCTCTAATTACTTGACTGGAAATAATTTAGCCCCTTTATTAGTTACTTTATTCATCCCATTATCAAAAAGGCCCTACAGACCTGTGATTCATTTATTCCTATTCCCTGTAATGGAGGATGCTTCCTAGTACCTTAGTCTTGGGGACCACAGCACTGAACTGAGGTATCCTAACTTGCAAATAGCAGGCTGACAGCTCACTCCAGGGGCTCCTAACGCACTGTTTTCCAGAGGCACTCTTTCCCACTCAATCGGCTGGGCCTCCCTGATCACTCTGTGCTGAAAATTCAATAAAACCTACAGGTCAAGTACTGGGACAGTAAGTCATTCCCAGAAGCTGGGACAAAGACTTTCTTTTTGGCTTGACCTCAGCATTGCTGACAGTGGCCCTGATGAATTCTTGTGAGCTTAAGTATCATAGTGAGAACGTGTCCTAGAACAGTGTTTCAAAATTTCCAGTTCAAATTTATTTCTCCATTCTCCAAATAGTTAAAATCAGGCAATTAACTTTGCAATGGTATTTTACCTGGCCAAGTGCTTCCAAGTTTCAAAGAAAGATAAAAACAGTAACTTGCAACAATTCTTCATCCCTAAATAATCAATTAATGAAATCACTATGAAAATACCACGAAACTGCGTTGTGATCATCATGCCCCAGACCTGCAGTCAAAAACTTTAGATTGTAATTTTAGTTTGGCCATCAACTCAGCAAGCAAGTTATTAAATAGCTTTGCCTCATTTCCTATGAGAAATGTTACCAGAATATAAAGATTAATTTACAAAACAATGTGAAAAGCACTTTGTGCTTAAAGTAATTGTTCTTATCTATAGGTTTTAAGTGCATAATACAAAAAAACGTGAGTACAATTTAGTATTTCTTCTTCCAATAAGCACTTTTAGTATGGAATAATTATTTTCATTTAGGTTACTGATGACCAATTCATTATTCTGACAACAATCCAAAAATAAGGAACTACAAAGCCTCAATGGCAGCAGATAATTTTGATCACCAATTAATGTCATTAAACAACTAATTTTGAGACATTTTCAAAATGCTTTCGGCATCCCTTTGGTCACTAAATATTAAATCTGGCTTCCCGTGCTTTTAAGAAACTCTGGTTCACATGGCTATAATCACGCAGCTGTGCAGACAGTTCCTTTAAAGAAAATAAAAGTCTGACAGAAACTAAAAATCAAGAGTAACAGTGAACCATACTTCAATTTATTGACATTGTCAATTTATGAACAAGACACGGTTTTTTTTTTTTCCATGAAATAAGATCCTTTTCAATCTGCCGTTAACATGTGGCCACACATCTTCACCTTGGAAATACGGCACATCAAGTTTTAGTCAGGGTCTAGGAAGAAAAAGAAAATGCAACAGTTGCCGGCTAGTTCTCGGGTGTTTTCTTAAAAATTCAACATGAATATAAGAAATAACTTCCTTATAGTGAACTGTATAACTGTGGCTATAAATCACATTGCCTTGGCTTGGATGTAAAAAGTGCCGGTTCAAGTACACAGGCTTAGTCAAGCAGGCATTTCTCGGCTGAGTGAAAGTAAACACTCTCCCAGTAATAAAGAAACTACTTTGCCTTTAAAAGACGCTCACATCTCCTGTGCTAATGAGGTGAGGTTCCTAACCCCGAAAGACATAACAGAGAGGGGCTAATGCTTTGTTTAAGGGGATCGGACACTACTTCCCCAACCCCAGGACGCCGCAAAATCTCGGCGTTTGATGCAGAGTCTGGTGGCTCTGCTGCAGAGCGGTGTGAGGCTAAACGATTTGTTTATTGTTAAAACAAAACAACTCAACATAAAACCAGGTCTCATTACCCAGAATTATGAGATTAGATAGCCCCTAGAAAAAGGGCTAAATTCAAAACACTGCATCTCCAGACTTGTAATAAAATATTTACTAATTCAAAATGAAAATAAAAAGTGCTTAGGGGAGACAGTTCCAATAAGTAAAATTGCTCATAACCACAAGCTGCCAAAGGATTAATATTTCTCACATTTCCGTGATACTGTGGGTCTGAAGCTTTTTAAAAGCAAAACAAGAAAATGAAATCTGGAAAACATCTCTGACAATTTGCTTTGCCTACCTTTGAAATAACAATGTCAAGAAAGTACTTTAGAGATAAAACCACTTTTATAATTTGGAACACAAATGTCTACACTTAGCAACTGTACAGAACTTTTTATTTCATGAGAATGTAACTTTACATCACCAACATCTTTGAAAAAGTAAAATGAACCAAACCCTCTGAAAACATAGTAAATTTAGCAAAACAGTAGACACTGCAGGGTCTTGCAGATTTTATTGCTTGATACAACAGCAGGACCCTTCCCTGTACTTGTAGTTAAGATGTTCGGGAAGTACTGATTTGTGAAAACATTAGTAGATGTGGGGGAAATAAAAATGTAAAGAACTGTAATTTTTCATGCTCTTGAACTGTTATGTTAACTCCAATAGCAATTATAAAAGTGGGGAGTTCATCCTCCAAATTATTTGATTTGCGCAGACAAATGAAACAGGTTTAATTAAATAAGATGGCTCTCTACCTAAGCATTGCTAAATGAACTGAAAATCAATGTGCCAATTACTTCTGCTTGTCAGAGCCTGAAAAGACTTTCTTTTTATTAGGCCACGGGACTTCTATAACCTGTATGCTTTAAATTATATTATCCCAATAACTAACTTCCAAATACACGGACTAAAACATGAACAGAACCCAAAACTAAAATTATTTTGATCTTTATGGTGTTCCAAAAACTTCAGATGCAACTGTTCTAAATCAATCAGTAACTTACAGATTATTCCTTCTTTACTTTCACAATTTTTACATTGCTGCCAGCAGTCTTCTCGGCATTTGCTTTGAATTCTGTCTTCAGTGCATCTCTCACTGCTTTTGCACAGATCTGGGAATATCGGATGTAGCTGGGAGAAAACGAAGGTATATAGTTAATTATCAATATTCCAGCCAGACAGCTGTTAGTGTGCTTTCACTTCCTGCACTTTTTATTTTGTTTTGGTGGTACCTTAGTGTACGACTGGATTTAAAAATATGACTAACTCCAAAAAGAATCTATACAAAGAAAAATAACACTAGAAAAAAATGTACCGAAGTATTAGCTGGTGTTTGGATGCATGATCTTTGATTTTTCTTCTTTGTACTGTTTTCTCTTTAGAGTATATTAATTCAAAATAAAAGCTGCATAAATGTTTTTAAAAATCCCACAGCACAGAAAAAAAATAGACCAAAATGTTAACAGAGACTATAACATGATTAATCAATTCTCTCTCCTTAAAACTTTAATTACGTTATTCTTGAAAGGTCAGGTATACATAATTAAGAGAAAAAACTATTTTGAATTAAAACAGTTCTTCCTGTACTAAATTATTTAAAGGCTTTCCTGAGAATACTGAATTCTGCATCACAAATCTGCCACTGAAAATACTTCCTAATCAAGATTTCTAAATTAAACTGAAAAGTGCTTAGAGAACATCATCAATGCTAGCAAAATCGTAAAACCTGCTTCCTGTTTGGTAGATGGACTCCCATCAACAACGTAGTTTCCAAAAGATGTCAGATCACCTTTCACACTTTTGAAAAACAGGAAGCGGGGAGGGGTGCTGCCTATTTTCTCATGTTTTAGAATTTATTTTGGGGACTCAGAGGTGTGAGTTCCAATGTCTGCGTCCATTCTTACTAACTGGGTGACCTTCAGGCTGGTCAACCTTTTCAGCACCTTTATTCACCTGAAAAAACAATAGAATAAAATGGTAACACCTGTCCTGCTGACAGCTGGGAGGAGGAAAAACAAAGTGTGAAAAGGTACGGATCACAGGAAAGTTGGCTAATAAATGGCATCTGCTACTGGGACTATCATCCAGTAGTAGATCATCCATCTTCCAGTTCTACAAGACTGCTTGCTTGACCTCAGCAAACCGAGAAGCTTAGTTGTAGAGCGGTCACATATACCCACAAAATGGAAAGTGCAACACCATCTAGTCAACGAACAAGGTGTGTCACCTGGAGCATGGTACTTCTGCTCATTTAGGTGCATGGGTCAGATGTGACACCTACAACCAGTGGTTTTTGGTTCCACTATGAGACACCATGTCCTCAAGTGGGTTCCATATTTGATCTTTCCAGGTACCAACTCTCACCTTTGTGAGGGGCTCTCTACAGTTTACCAATGACTTTCACCCCTTTTACACATAAGTAAACCTGACGTTGACAGGACTTAAAAGTTTAGAAATATGTGTAACGTTGTAAAAGACTCTACCGCGATGCTGGATTAAAGATCAAAGCTGCCAACAGCGGTCACGTGGAAAGAAATCTCCTGTTTCCCGAGGTGGCTGTGACTGTACTACTGTCACCACCTGGCTCCAGCACCATTCTGGAAAAGGCTTGCTGAACAAGAGCAGAGCTCTCTCTCGAGAAAGCTCCCATTCGCAAAGGTGTCCACGGGCACTCTGTGGGTGCTGGGCCGCCCCGACGGGAGGCGAGGCAGGACACAGGCGCACTCTCACGCGAGGCCGAGGCCGCGCCCTCCAGAGCGCTTTGCCCATAGCGACGCCATCTTGGCGGCGGCACCCGAGGCTCGATCCAGTACCGGTCACGCGTGGGGCAGCTGCTCCCAGCCGTGTTCTGCATGACCTCTGAGCACTTGGATGCGTGCGGGCCGGGCTCGCGGCGCCCTTCCCTCTGGAGGCGTGCGCCTACCTTAGTCCAGCCTGTCGCCAGTAGGCCACCATGCTGTCGAGAAAACGGAGCGCGTCGGGTCGAATCGCAAAGACGCCGGCAATGTCGGCTCAGCCGGGCGGTTCAGCCGCAGGAAGTTCAGACCACAGAAGCGGAAGGGGCGGGGTATGCGGACCTGCCAATCACCGCCTCCTGCCCCGCCCCTCCCTTGCGCACTGCCCCTGTTGCCCTGCCACGGAAGCCCCCTGGCGCCAGGAGCCAATGGGCGCGCGAGGCCTGGACCGCGGGTGCCAATCCCCGGGCGGGCCAGCCGGCTGCGTCCACCTATTGGCTCTGCGAGCGCCGGAGGCGTGTGTCTCCCGGGGCTTCCGTATTACCCCGACGGGGGTAGGCGGGGCGGGGACGGCCGGGGCAAGAGGGCTGGGGGGGCCGCCCCGCTCGCGGGGGGCCGTGGAGCCGCGTGCTTTCAGGAGGCGAGGACTCGAGGCGGCGCGGGGACGGTCGCCCCGAGGGCCTGGTTTTGCGCCCGCTTTAGGGAAACGACGCCGGCTTTTTAAAAATCTGTGGACAGATAAGCGTGTCCCGAGAGCTGAGATTCAGAAAAACGCTTAGGCACCCTTTTTCCCAGAGTGACAGTAAACCCTGGAAACCCGGTGGAGGACCCCCTTTGGCGTTTTCTGTTCTAGGATCTGCTTCCAATGTGCGACAAGACGGAGGGTAAGGCAACAGTTGCCACTGTTGCTCGGGATGGATGGGAAGAAAAATGTGAGGAAAACCCACTGGACGCACAGGGGATCTGCCACGCCGCAGGAAAATGCTCATCTCAGTGCCTGTGATTTAGAGAACCAAACTCTTAACCCAACGCGGTGAAGTCTCAGTCTAGGAATTAAAGCGTTTTTTCTCATACACAGGAAAAAAAAAAAAAACAAAAAAAAAAACTTTTGCTCTTCACCTTAATTATTAAAAAGAATTATAATCAGGAAAAACAATACTTAAAAGAAAGTTTTTATTAACAAAAGTTTTTCTTAATCCACATTTCAACTTTAGTATTAAATAGTCCAAGGGTTTCATTTATGAACACTTATTCCAGTTTAGTCCTCTTAAATTCATTTGCTTGCGGTGCATTTATGATTCACAGGTAAAAGCTATCAATTACCAGCTATTTCAAAAAATGTAACCAACTGCACTGGAAAATGAAAATTTATAGTTTTATAATTAGATCAGCGTTTAAAAAAATCAAAGGATAAGGATTTGTTTAAAAATCTATTAGGGCATGACACCTTTTTCAGAACAAGTATAATTTGCAGAAATTATACAAGGCAGATTTTCATCAAATATCAATTATTTAGCGATATTTAGCTGAAATGTTATTTCACTTGTAAAAACTATATCCGGTTACAAAAAAAATCAGAAACCTTATTGAATTTAATCTGCTTTTACAAATGTCCTAAAAAGTCTTAAGCTATACAATTTTTAAGTAGGAAAACGATAATTTAAAAATAGTTTGGCTATACTATTTCTGTGGTTATGTACATATATTAACTGGTCTCTGATAGGAAACAGGACTAGAAGTTTATCACACTAAGCACTGTAAAATAAAGGCAAGAGCTAATCATCTTGTAGCAAAAATACTCTCTATGCAACAATTGCAAATGTCAAAGTTATTATTTAGTGGTTACTAATTGGCTGCTACAAAATAGAAAACAAAGTACATTTATTGGATTTTCAGTTTGCAAGCTGCCCTCTGACATCCCAAACACAGAATTCCCATCAATAAAAGCTGCAGTGCAATTCACTCAGTGGTTGGTTTCAGGCCAAGCCTCCCCCCACCATTATCCTTGTTCTTTCCCACCACCCCCAAACCCTGCATTGGCACCATATTATTAAAAACATTCAGTACCTGGGGTTTATGCTTCAGAGCAAGACATCACTTGAGTAATTTCAAATGATGTACAGCTCCTTAATGTAAAAAAGATGTTTTGTGGTCACAATTACTTCAAAAAGTAATTATATTCAAATAACCTGACATATCATGCCTTAGCAATTACAAAACCATGATTTTGACACATGGCAATTTTTAAGTTAGGCAAATGTGAAATGCTAAAAGATGTGAACAGCCGTTCTTCTGTTTAAGTTAGAGCGCTGCAAAACTCAGGTAATGACTTTATTTTTTTCAGTTAACATAACCAGCCCACGGTACAGCATACTAAATCATAAAGTACAAATCCAAGGAAGTTAATACCTTTACTAAGTTACAAAACTTTGGCAAATCAATACAGTACTCTTTAATATAATGAAACCATACTTTTGTTGGAGTCATGTTACTTTAGTGATAATTTTCACTCCAAAAATATTAAGTACCAAATCAAAACACTGGTTTTTAATGGTGGTTTATAGCAGAGCAAGTTATTTTACACAAAATATATTTTAAAACTACACAATTTCTCCTTTTAGGTGAGTTCCCTTGTGCAAGCTGTTCAAGTATACAGCAGCAGGGCAGTAGGGTCTGCTGTGTTCTGGGGTTGGTCCAAAGTCAGGTGGAGTTCCAGTGTATGAAAAGCGTGAAAATCCTACCTTAAGGAGATTCAATATCAGTACTCATTTCCAAGGAATTCTTGTTGAATTTTCACAGAAATACTGGAACCCTCAAAATCAGATAGTTAATTTCAAAAAACATTAATTTCAGATGATCCGTTTTATTTACAGGCCCTGCATCTGTTTTGATCAAGTCACATAGCCTTATACCAACTTAGAAAAAAAAATACCTAAAGTATAGTTGTATTTTTTAAATAACAAATAAATATATAGTCAGCTTGGAGAGAGCTGGAGTACCCGACGTTGCCTACCAACTTTCACTATCACTTCTCTGTAAATGCTGCTGCAGCCATTGGAGCCCGTATGCTTCCTCTTGCTGAGGCTGTCAGTTCTTCAATCTCAGCATTTAATTTGTGTATTACCCATTCCATTGCTTCTCGGCCCTTAAAAAAATCCAATACATTTATTGTTAGTGAGAGCAAAGGCATATATCGAATTAATGACACACCAGGAAGTAACAAGGAGAGTGACAAGTTTAACTAAATCTGAGATGACATTTTGTTTTTGTCCTGGCTTTTTCTTTTCTAATGTTATTTGGCAAACATCAACTGAGCAACTGGCTTGATCCATAAACTGACTTTTATTTTGTATGCAAAAGATGTTCTCAAAATAATCTACAATTAAATAATAGGATGTCTTATTTATTTCATGATTACAGTGGTCCCCTTTTTAGGGGCAAGAAGATCAAATCCCTTTGCTTTATATTTTAAACCAAAAGCCTGTACAAGGTCCTACAGGATCTGGTCCCCAACTCCCTCCTCACCCCTTCTCTCCTAGTCTTCTGTGCAGTTCCTTGAAAAACAGAAAGAGCAATCGCCACTTCCTGTCTCAGGGCCTTCACACATGCAGCTCCTCCACCTAGAACACTCTTCTTGGCATACCCCTTGCAATCAACCTGTCCCCATTACACGCTCAGCAGAAACATCAGTTCCTCAACACTCATTAAACATTCTCATACCTTTCTGCACCTTTTCTTTCCTAATGACATGCTTCGTGATTAATGTCACCTGCCTTTTAGTTCCACGAGGGCAGGGACCACACTTGTTTTGCTCCCTGCTGGATTCCCTGTCTAGCCTAGCACTGCCTGACACAGAGAAGGCATCCGTGAGTATCTCTTGACTACTGAATGACCAAATTAACCATGTGCTATGAAACAGTGCATTAGGCATCTTTCTCTAAACTTAATGTTCTCAGTAAACAAAAATTGGTTCTTGGGAGGGATGGAAAAATCTTCCTCTTTTATGTATAAAGTCCATACATATGTATATGATATGATATAACTTAATGGAGGTGGCAATAAGGCAAAAAATGTCTAAAACAAGTTGGGGGGAGATAATAGTGAAAAAAAGTTGAGAAACAGTGCTTTAAATGACACACAGCTACACATCACTGAGCACTTCCTAAGTGCTGGGCCCCAGGCTACGTACTTGCAGTGTTATCTCATTTACTCCATGCCAACCCTGTAAAATGCGTAATCTCCACTTCAAAAATGGGAAACTGAGGCATAGAAAGGTTAACTTAGTTGCCCAAGGTTGAAAGGCTAAAAGCTAGAGATGAACCCAGAGCCTGTGTAACTAACTGCTCAAGGTGCTGCAATTTCCCAGGGTAGAGTGGGTAAGGGTCAACTCCTCATTTATCTAGGAAATGAACCAGGGAATAATAACCAAGAAGCAGCCTCACTTACTTTACTAGCATTGGAGGATATCGTACTTGCCATCAATCCTTCAAGGTAACTGCTGAGGCTAACTCCTTTCACAGTGATTATAGCTTCTTGAGTCAAAACCGTTCTGGAACAAAACATACTCATGCTGGTTCAGATGACCCAACTTTCATTTTCAAAAAATTTGACAAAAAAAAAAAAAAAATTTTTTTTTCAACACCCTTTACAATACATTTGATAAAATATTTTTTACTCACTTTTCTGGGTCCTGAGGATGTGGTTTGTATATAAGTCTCTCATCTACTGAAACCATATTTGTAAATGAAATCTACAAAAAAAAAAAAAAAAAAAAAAAGCAAATATTTTGGAACTGAAGATTCAAAATGTTTCCAAAATCAACACACAAGCCAAAATCTTACTAGCTAAACACAACAAAACAACAAATAAACCACTGCTATTATTGCATAAACTATTCACTGCCTACTTTTTATTTAAAAAACAAAGTTGAGGAAAGAAAGTATAATGATAATACACATAATCCCAAACTCATTTTATTGAGTGCTATCCCCTTAGACAGGCAGGATCATCAGAGCAGGAAGGGTAAGGAAGCAAAACACAGGGCCAAGTCTGGGCTGCGCATGCTCAGAGTCTCTAAACCACCCCGTGAACATGCACTCGCTTATATGTCAACTAGAAGAGACACAAAGAACTCAGCCAGACAGTTCAAAATGAAACAAAAGGGGGCCAAGACTTACATTAGTAGATTTGAGTTCCATTGTTTTCTCTACAGGATCAACTACAGAATGTTCTTGCACATACGTCTTTGTTCTTGCTGCACCAATAAGCTAAGTAAAACATTCAGAATTAGTAATCAGAGGAGGAAGAATTTCTTCCCAAGTACATCAATATTTTATTTGCAGGAAAAAATGTCAATATCTTGAACCAAAAATCTGTTTCATAAAAACCAGAGGAAACAAGCAAAGTTCAGAAAAATGGCCTATTGACACAATATGGATGAGATGAGACTGTCAGACACAAAACCTTTTCCCACAGGCAATTAGAAACCAGCCCACTGAGATGTCTGCAACGTGAGGCACCACGATGAATCTGCCGAGACGCAACAGTGGAGCACTGAGGCTGAACTATGGAAATCAGGCTTGGGGCAACATGGCAGCTAGAAAAAAGGAGAACTCAAAGGCATCTGTATTTTCCCAGAACAGTCCAAGGGAGGTGGCACCTCAGCTTCATTCTCCAGACAGAAAAACAGCTTTCTCATGATGGAGGATCACACATCGGTGTCCACGGTCACTCCCTGTGCTAAGACCCCAAGCCCATCCCCTGACGTTGCTCATTTCTAAGTCCGCACTAGCTAATGCCATGGTTTGCATAAAGGAGGCAGTAAGTACATTCCTAATAAAATGTATACTTTTGTTTTCCTAGTGAACCTACTTTCCATAAAGAGACCCTCTACAGAAACCTGGATCCACTATTACACCGGTTTTCTCACATTATGGTAAATTGGCATTCAGTTTCTTCCTGGTTAAATCTGCTCACTAAAGCCAGCTTATTCTTAAGGGAATAGAATTATTTCTAAATGTACAGGAAGGAGTTCCAGACCTTGGAACAAATGTGGCAAGAACAAGTCCGAGAACATACTCCTTACTTAATGTACCCAACCCACCACTGATCACAGAACTGTCACCTAACAATCATGACCAGACCATTACTTCCAAGTCTCAAGTTGCTGGCAAAAGGAGAAAAAGCAGAATATAAGTCTTTTCAGATTACACAGAATTAGCTGGCTTCCTTCAGAAGATTCTATCAGGTGCCTTCATGAAGACTGTAATAATATTTCTAATTCATTATACACTTATAATTCAAGTTTATTATAATACAACTTGAACTGATGCAAAAATGACATTCAGAATCGGCTCCCACAACCTGTTTGAAATTATAATGCAGTTTAGAAAACTTCTCTACAGCAGTCACATTTCTCCGGGAATAAAGACACACTTACAGACTTCACAATGGAAGGCAGTCCCCACTCTGTGCTGAGAAGTCTGTGGCTGTGCAACTTTCCAGAGGGATCTATATGTCTGTCCAACACATCAACTCCAACCACACTTGGGTTCATAGGGTTTGGGTATTTCTGCATTGCAGCTGTTGTAACAGTTTCCCATGGGTGGCTACCGATGTGAACCAAAACAAAACAAAACAAAACACCCAAACATTTAAGAATATGCATATGAGTTAAACAGTTTTTATAATCCATCAAATCATTCTTTACAATGTAAGTTTAATGAGTTTTCCTAGGAAAAATTATCTTCTGAAACAATGATGATTATGGGAAATCAATCTACATTTTTAACAGGCTTCAGTATTTTTCCACAATACAGACTATGTAATAAAACTCATATCTATAAAGATCAAAGTAGCCTACAAAGCATTACAATATAGTTTCTTAAACCATTTTTCCTACTTACCATTATCCACTTTCACATGTAAATTATTTCTAGGCAGAACCAGTGATTCAAGAAAATGTATTTAAAATTGTGTTCTACTGAAACAAAGAGCCAAACGTATCGTTATGCTATTTGTTATTTTGTCTGATCCCAATTCTATCAGGTTTTAAGGAAGTAACAAAAGTAAAAGAATTTATGGGCACTATAAACTCTTACGGGGATCACAAAAAAGATCCAAAGCTTTGATTTAATTATTGAACTTTTCCTTCATATTAATGTAATAAATAACATTCCCTCCAGTCAATCTTTATTCATTGTTTTTCTCAAAGGAGTGATTCCGATTTCTGTTTTGAAAAGGTCACTCAATACAATAAAATGTCCTTAAGGCACTCCTAATATGCTACTTCCTAATATTCTCTTTTAATATTGTAAGCACTTGCTTATCACCTAGTATTGAAGTGGTAACAATATCACATCACTTGAGAACTTGCAGTATCTTATTTTCTTGAAAAAGCACATGTGCTTGGGTGATTCAAAATGTGATGCACCTTTGTTCACTTCACAACTTCTATGAATAAAACACTTGTACAAAAGACATCATTTTCAAAAGGACATTAAGTACAATCAGTATTAAAGGTGATTTAGTCCACCTGCAGTCTGATTCTAGCCCCTTCTATGCCACTTATCTGTGCTCTCATCTTCATTTGAAGGAAAAAGACAAGATCTGGGGATGATGTTTCAAGCTACAATGACTGATAAGCCACACAGCATTACTTTTTATTTGTCTAAAAATGAAACAGGTAGACATTATTCAACTTTTTAGAGACCTCAGATTGACAACTACATCTTTGTCAAAAAAAGGAAAATCTCTACTACATTAATTTCCCAGAACCCTGGACAACCAGTGACATTATTTTTAATGTTTTCATTATAATACTGTTTTCTCTATAATATTATACAAATGAACCTCATTATGTCTTTAGTCTCCAGGCTTATCCAGCAATCAATGCAGATATATAAGCAGAGTTGCTTCATCAATCTGAACCGTCCCCACAAATAGAAGCATACAGGCCAAGCACTCTGATTCTTACCAAAGCAACTATCTAAAATGAAAATCAGATAAACCCTCTGCAGGTCTCCATCCAGTCATATACCATGGTTAGCTGGCTTCCATGCCCTTATCTCTTCCCCCAACCCTCTCTAAAAAATTAATAATCGCATGGCCTCAGGGTGGTTATGCATTATTTGTAATTGAGTCCATCTCCCCTTTCTGAACCAACTTGAAACCACTGATGTTGACTTAGCTTGGCTCTAGATTATGAACCATAGCCAGCTCAAACATTACAAACAACACTTATTATGATTAATAATCTTCCAGCAATTAATATGAACTGTATTAACATAATTATGTGAAAAGGATCTCATAATGGAAGACATTCAAAGACTGTACCAAAGTAGAATCAGGAGGACCTGGCTATGGCTCACTGACCTGTCCCACTTCTTCACCCTTGAAATCAGGTGAGGACATTGTTAACTACACTGGGGCAGCAACAATGTCTTCATTTACTTAATAAAATGTGATCAATCCAAAGAACAGTGCCTGACACATACTGGGCATCTCTATATGTTGAAGGAATCAATGAATGATTTCACCTGGTTGCCAACTGTAGGCCCCAGAAGAGGCCTTGGAAGAAAGTGCTGGAAAATCAATAGATAAGATGTAGAATGATGACTTAGATATTGTTGTTAGTAACATCCTAAAGATGAGAAACAACATTCAGATTTGTGAGGGGAGATTATGACTTCAGCTTCAGGTAGGCTGAGTTTGAAGGGCCTGTGGGAAAGGAGGGTAGCGATGCCTAACAGGCACCTGAAAATAAAGAGCGAAGCTGGAGAGGCTGGAGCTCAAGGTACAGATCTGGGTGCCATAAATGTGTACTTATCATTTGGGACTTTGACCAAACAGCCCAGTTTATATGGGGAGAAAGCATGGATCAGGGCTTCTTCTCCCAAGATAAAAAAAGTCTGTGACAAAAAGAGAAAAAAAAAAAGAAATTAAGATCATAGATGAAATCCAACATAGGAAGGCCAACAACAGAATCTCACTGAACATTTACACTGAATGGGAAAAAGACAGGGAAGTGTTGAAGATAAAGGCAGAAAGATTACAGAGGGAAGCAGGGGACGGGTCAAGAAGGAGCAGTAGGAAAGATAAGGGAGAAGATAGTGCTTTATTTTTTGAGACAGGGTTTCGCTCTTGTCCACACTGGAGTGCACTGGCGTGATCCCAGCTCACTGCAACATTCACCTCCTGGGTTCAAGCGATTCTCCTGCCTCAGCCTCCCGAGTAGCTGTGATTCCAGGCATGTACCACCATGCCCGGCTAATTTTGTATTTTTAGTAGAGACCGCGTTTCTCCATGTTGGTCAGGCTGGTCTCAAACTCCCCACCTCAGGTGATCTGCCCATCTCTGCCTCCCAAAGTGCTGAGATTACAGGCGTGAGCCACTGCACCTGGCAAGGGAGAACAAAGTTCTAAAGAGACTCAGTGCCAAGAATTTCTGAAGCATGCAAACCTGGAAGAGGAATGAAATTAAGCATCCCCAGAGCTGAACTGGACTAGTGATGAATGTGGCTAGGTTAATGAACAACATAATGACTACAACTCTCAAGGCTTCTTCCTCCCACAAAGACTGTAAACAGTAGGAAGAAAAAAAAGCTCCCTTCTGATTCTAATATTCTACACTTTGCAGGATACAGCAGGCCCTAGGATGTGTCCTGCTAAGTACAAATGCTGACAACGTTTTAAAAGTTGCCTTCAGAGGCTGGGCGAGGTAGCTCACACCTGTAATCCCAGCACTTTGGGAGGCCGAGGCAGGTGCATCACTTGAGGTCAGGAGTTGGAGACCAGCATGGCCAACATGGTGAAACGCCGTCTCTACTAAAAATACAAAAATTAGCAGGGGGTGGTGGTGGGCGCCTGTAATCCCATATACTTGGGAGGCTGAGGCAGGAGAATCACTTGAACATGAGAGGCAGAGGTTGCAGTGAGCCAAAGACAGTGCCACTGCACTCCAGCCTGGACGACAGAGCAAGTGCCTCAAAAATAAAAAAAATAAAAGTTGCCTTCAGAGACACTTTTTAAAACATAAATGGCTTTGTAGTATATTTATTTACAAGGCTATACCAATTAAAACTGTGGCGATGACATTAAGATCAGCGGATGAGAGCAGGTAACTCAGGAAAAAAAAATTTGCTGCTTTAAGTTTGTGCCTTTTTTGTTCACGGAATTATGGACCTGGAAGAGAATTTAATTCTCCACATCCAACTGGTTCAAGGCCTATTTTCGTTAATAAACATTTCACACTATCCAAAAAGATGTTCCTGAACATGGCCTCAAAGAGATTCAACACGGGTAGGCCATGACGACCGTCCTCTTCTATTGCTCAGATGAAAATGGGAAATCCAAGGTCACACGCTTGTTGCTGCCAGAGCTAGACCTTGAATTCCAAATCCAAGGCTCTGCGGCGTAGATGAACAGGTTGGGAAAAGGTGTCACGTCCTGGTGGCCTGAGTTCACCCACAACTCACAATCGGAGGTAGGAACTCCACCCAAACGGCGACCAGGAAAAGTCCACTCTGCAGAAAACCAACACCTCCCTCTTGGGATTCTCGGGTCCACGTCCCAAAGGGGTTCGGCAGGGCGGGATGTGGCAACCCTAAGTGCTGTCAAGGACCTCGTGCTCTGCGACGCCCCCAGGACCTCAGGAGGCCGCTGGCCCGAGGCTGCCTCCTGGTGGGGGACAGTCCGGAAGTGGCTTCGGCGGCCCTCCCCGCCGCAAGGCCGCCTGGGCCCGGAGGTCGGAGCCGTCCCCTCGGCTCGGGCGCCTCGGGGTCGTGACCTTGGCCAGCCCTCAGTGTCCCCCGGGCCCGCAGGCTTCAGGGTTCGCCCCTATCGCTAGGCCCGACGCCTGGAAGCCTCCTGAGGGCCGCCTCTGCCTCGCCTGGACTCCAGAGCCGGCGTGCCCACCCTCCCCGGAGCCGTCCCCGCGCCCCAAACTTACTCGAAGACGTGCTCCGATGTCCAGATCTTCATGGCGCCGGCGACCTGAGCGATGACCGGGTGGCGCCAGGGCACAACTAGGTACAGAGGCTACACCGGCCCCCGCCCCGCCCCCAGCACACCAGCCGGCCCCGCAGCGCGCAGGCGCCGTCAGGGCCGACGCGAGGGACGTCCCGACGCGCGGCCCCACGCCCTATCCCGGTCCGGGTTTTGCCCCAGCCTTGCGCGCGGCGCAACGAAACCACGCCCCTTAGCGCCCGGCGCAACGCGCCGGCGCAATGCCGTAGACGGCACCTGGAGGCGGCGGCGAGGGAGCTGTGCTGCGCACGCGCGGCGGGCGGGGGCGGGAGCCCTAACCTCTGGGCGTAGTTGGGTCAGGTCCAGGAGGTGCCTGGGCTCCCGCCCGGCCCTGTTTGTCGTTCTGGCCCAGCACAGCCTCTCCTGGCGTTTCGAGGCGTGTGGACGCATCCGGTCAGCCTGCTGACATGGATGTTCCTTGTGGTGCTTACTTGTGCAAAATTTCCTGGTACCCTATAGAGTTCCTGCCGCCTCCTGGGGTCAGCCCGATCTATTGTCCCAAATCCACCAGCCAGCCAGCCGATCAGCTGTGCCCTTCCCACCTGCCCTCCAGGAGCTTGCAGCCCTCGGAGGGGATAAGTAAGGCGTGATGCGGAGAACCTAACGTCAGACATGCCATGAATACCCCAACCAGGGGTGCAGTCCAGAAGCACAGTGAAGGGGCGGGTGGCAAAGCCTCCTGGCCCGGCAGACCTTGCCCTTGGTTCGTAGGATGATCTGAGCTGAGATGTCCCTGCCAGAGAGGGTTCCCTCGTCACCCTTTCTTAGCAGATCCTCCGACCTTTGTTACTCTGCTCCATCACAACATCCTGTTGCATTTTTCTTAGCGCTTACCCCTCTGACATCACCTTGTTCATTTATTTGTTGTAACTCCTACTCGAGCCGAGCCCTTGAAGTCAAGGATCTTGCCTGTCTTGTTCCAAAAAATTCTCAGTGTCTCCTATATAGTCAAGGCTCAAAAATTACTTATTGAAAAGTGAAAAAAATCAATAGCTATTTGTGGGATGAATGAATTAATGGCATCATCTAGTTTATTTGTTGTAACTTCCACTAGATTGTAAGCCCCTGAGGGCGAGACTCTTGCCAGACTTGTTCAGCGATTTCCCCATTCCTACATGACAATTATTTGTTTCATCAATGGATGAAAGAATGACTAAGAAGTGCAGGGGCAGGAGGGGGTGACATGTGGTTTCATTCAGAGATGAGCCTTGTCCAGGGGACAAACTGCCTGGCTTAGCTTTCAGAACAGGGCTTCCTACCCTGCTCTCCCACACTCTCCACAGATGTCTACTTTCTAACAGAACAATTTGCCATTTTAAATGATGGTTATGGAGGAAAATCTTTACATCTAGTTACTTAGAAGCTAGTTAGAAGGACCACTTCATTCTTGTTCTTAGCTTGTTTGATTGTTAAAAACAAAAAGCCAGGTTACTTTAGGAGGGAGGATCATTTTTCAAAATAGCATAAGTCTTTTATATAAGAAAACAGAAAAATTACATTAGACAGGAAGGAAATAATATGGTTGGGCAGTTGCTAAGTGCAATTTGTGGTACCTGAGATTTTGTTTTTTTAAACCTACGGTACTTAGAGTGATTTCTTCGGGAAGTAATGCTTTAAGGACTGCTGAGAGTGCCTCAGCCTTGACTAAGATGCGAAGTTAATGTCGCTGGGTGTTAAAAACACTGGTTCAGGAACCATAAGCACAGAACAGCCTGTCCCTGCTATTCCTGGAGTTCAATTAGGCTGTTCACCATCCAGCATTCCTGTTCTGTTTATTTTAGAGAACATTATTCTACCCTCAAGTTCAAAATTTCTGTGTTTTAGTCATGAAAATTAAATAACACCTATCTCCTCTGTCCCCAATACACACACTCTATCAGTCTAATTTTACTTACTAATCTGGAGTGATGGGATGGGCCATGGAAAGATGCAGATCCAGGACCCAGCTGTCTTTTCTGTGTGTCTCCCTATGGTGGTAATAATACCACCTCTTACTTGGATTTGGAGGGCAAGACTTTCACTACGAATATTTCCTGGAGACTCTCTTAGGAGACACAGAGGAAGCAAATTAATGGTTTTTAGATACCTAAGCTTTGTATAACTTGACAGTGCCTCTCACAGAAACAGATAAGTCATTAACAGATCATTAATTTGATTTGAAATTAACTAGGTGACTGGCAGTTGTGGCCCTTGCCCCAGGGATGACACACATCTCCACACCCTTCCTGTTGGGATCTTCTGTTGGGCTCTTGTTGAGCTCCATGCCTGGGTCAAGAATGAAGATGTGACTCATACCTACAAGGAGCTTTACAACTGGCCAGGAATCAAAACACAAGTCAAGAATCAACTAGAGGACATTTATTTATTTATTTATTTATTTAGAGACAGAGTCTCACTCTGTCACCCAGGCCTAGGCTGAAGTGCAATGGCACGATCTTGGCTCACTGCAACCTTCGCCACTCAGGTTCAAGCAATTCTCCTGCCTCAGCCTCCCAAGTAGCTGGGATTACAGGCATACACCACCATGACCAGCTAAATTTCGTATTTTTAGTAGAGATGGGGTTTTACCATATTGACCAGGCTGGTCTAAAACACCTGACGTCAAGTGATCTGCTTGCCTCTGCTTCCCAAAGTGTTGAGATTATAGGCATGAGCCACTGCACCTGGCAAGAATCAACTAGAGGATATTTAAAGGGAGGGTTGGGTGTTCACTGCCAAGAGACCCAGAACTGTGAAGTGCAGCCTCTGGGTCCTTATGGAAGGTGGTGGGCAGAAAAGGATTTGGCTGAGGGGCTGGGATCAGGGGCTGGTATGGGAAGAGGCAGATGGCGGCACCAACATGCATGGCCCCATGTTAACTGGTTCCAGAGACAGGCCTGGCAAGAGAAGCACTCCATCTTCTGCTGGGCCTCAACTACTGTTATTTCCAAACTGCCCTCACCTGCACACCATCCCAACAGTTGTTGCCCTATCTTCATTCCACCTGTCCCATCGTTCTCGGAACAAACCGAGGGTCCAGCTGCTTATTCTCAAGGCCCAATAACCAGATGCAGATGACCTGGGAGAGAAGGGAGTTAACTGGTTACAGGAAGAAGGCCTGGAAATTGTCACTAGACTAACTCAAAATTACAAAGTTTTCCAGAGCTTGTATACCTTCTAAGCTATATGTCTATGTGTAAGTATGCATTCGTCTAAAAACATAAGTGATTAACTTCTTCTAATCTATAACTAAGATCTGAGCCCTGAAGACCTTCTTCTGGAGCCTCAGTAAATTTACTTAATCTAAATGGGTCCAGGTGCTGGGGGTGATGACCCTATCTTGTCTCCTGCTAAATCATGGATGTTTAGACCCCCCAATAAACTTGTTGGTGGAGGCCTGTGGAGTTTCTTCAGACCCCCAATAAAACTTATTTAATCCTAAACAGATTCTGAATTCCTTTGGCATCTTGTCACGCTTCAAGGCCCAGGAAAGGCCTCGGCAAAGCTCTTGGTGGGCCTTTGTTACAGTCCAGCCTTTGTATAAGAACGCTGGCTCTTTCGGCTTTTCCTGTTTACCCACTCAGTCAGTACTGAAACGGTGCTTATGGAGGCCTGCATTAGTGACACCTGGCCTGCCACACCGTTACTACTTGATTTTTTATATCAATGTGGTCTAAGAGGAAACATACTTGGTCTTTGTTCCCAGTTCTGTCACAGAGCTCCTAAAACGCTTGGGATTTCCTGAATGATAGGGCTGTCTTTGATTATTCATACCAAGCTGCTTTTGATACTATCTCCAGGTAGATGGTGTCGGAATTGTAATGGCTGCTGGAGAATTGTGTGGTTGGTGGAGGGAACCCCCACACATCTGGAGTCAGTGCGTATCTGTGTCGAGAGTCTAGTACTCAGAGAAACAGTGTGTTTTTGTCAGAATCAACTTCCTTGCAAATACACTTGAAACTTTATATAGCTATTTTCAATAGAAAACCAGTATTTTTCTCCTTCCTTCCTTCCTTCCTTCCTTCCTTCCTTCCTTCCTTCCTCCTTCCTTCCTTCCTTCCCCCTTCCTACCTTCCTTCTTTCCTTCCTTCCCTCCTTCCTTCCCTCCCCCTTTCCTTCCTTCTTTCTTTCCATCCTCTCTCTCTCTTTCTTCCTTTCTTTCAACAGTCTTGCTTTGTCTCTCAGGCTGGAGTGCAGTGGCCTGATCTCGGCTCACTGCAGCCATGCCTGGCCAAGAGAATGTGTCTTTTCTCCTTCCCAATCTTTTTGTCTGTGCTCCCTTCATTTAGTCATTGCACAAATAACCACTGATCATCTATTCTAGATCATCCCTATCATGCTACAGCAGCAGGAGACAATTTCCCCAGGGACAGTTTTCTCCAAGAGGCATTGGCAATGTCTGGAGACATGCTCGGTTGTCCCAGCTGGTGGTGAGGGTGCCACTGGCATCTGTGGGTAGAGGCCAGAGATGCTGCTAAACATCCTGCAGTGCACAAGATGGCAACTGGTTCCCCACCCCCTCCCCCCAATAAAGAGGGATCTGGCCCAGATGTTGACAATGTCAGTGTTGAAACCATGGGGTTCATTTAACAGGCTCTTATCTCTGTTCCAGTCTACCTATCTGGCTTTGATATTTTGTCCTTCCACTCTCCAACTGAGCTGAACCCACAGCCACATCAATCCTTCACTGTCCCTACAGGCCATGCACTTCCACACCCTTGAACTTGGCACTTGGTGTTCTCTTCACCTAGAAAGCACTTTCGTCTGATTTGCCCTGGAGAGTCTTACTCATGTCTTGAGATTCTGGGCAAATACTCTACTCTTCAAGTGCCTCACTGATATGCCTCTCCCCACTAGCTGAGCACAGCGCCTTGTTTCGGCTTCGGTGCTCCTGCTGGCATTTGATATAGGCCTTATTATGAAATATCACTGTGTAAGTGTTGTGTGTGTATGTCCACACTACAGTTTAAAGTACAAAGTGATGGCTTCTGTGTTAGAAGGATGGGGGTAGGAGCATGGCTCCTCAACCTCTTCATCATTTGATTTATAGTCCTTATTATAAATGTGGCCACACAGTAAAACAAGAGTCATGATAACAAGAAAGTATTTGCCACTGAACCAAATCTATACATACGAACTTGGTGCCTTCT